CTCCCGCGTGCCCGGCGCTGGGCCCTCGGGGCGGCCCGCGCTCTGCCTCCCCGGGGGCCCTGGCGGGGACACCGGGGACCGCGCGCCCGGCCTCCCGCGCAGCTTCCACTTCGAGAGCACTTTGCGGAAAGTTTGCAAAGTTGTTTTCAAGATGGCTCCTCCGCGCGTCCCGGGAGGGCGCCGCGCATCAACCTGCGGCTGCGGCGGCTCCTGGCGGCTCCAGGTGGCCCCAGCGCGGACTCGGGGGGGCGGGCGTGGGAAGCTGGGCGGGCCCGGGGCGGGGCGGAGCCTGCGATCCCGGAGCGGTCCCGGCCGCGCAGCACCTCCGAGACTCCGGCGGCCCGCGGCTGCCTGGGCGGTGCGCTTGGCGCGCGCCCCCTCCACTAGCCTCTCCCCGCCCCCGGCCGGCCCCGCCCCTCCCCCTGCTCTGCCGTTTATTGTTCAGCCCCGGGGGGGAGCCGGCCCGGAGGTGCACGCCGGGATGATCGCCATGGAGACGCGGGGGCGCGGTCCGGGCAGGAGTGGGGTCCCGCCCACTCCCCAGCGGCCTCCCCACCCAGCCTCGGCGGGAGGCGGGGCTCGGGGAGCCTGGTGGGGAAAGGCCGCTGGGGTCTGTTCGTAGGGGACCGGGTGCTGTCCGAAGCCTCGCACCCCACCTGGCAGAGCCGATCTACGGAGACAGGGCAGGTGCCAGAGAACCTCCATGGAGTTATATCTGTGGCAGGGCACTGGGGGACTGTTACACATTTACCGAGACGCACAAAGACCTTGACTCCGACGCAAAGTTCCCTAGACTTGGAATCTGATGGGCAACTCACAAGCTTCGGGTCCCACTTTAAGTGAAAAAAATAATAATAATAACCTGGTTGGGAGGTGACGGTGGAAGAGACTTTGTTCCCCACGCGTTCTGCTGGGCCTGCGCCTTCCCAGAGGCGGTCACCTGTCCCCATGCCAGGGGCTACTGTCCATCCCACCTGTGGGGTGCCTGGGGAGAGAACACTGGAAGGGGAGGCAAGGGAGGCCTTAGGACATGTGGAACTAAGACACCTTCACTAGGGCCGTTTGCAGAAAGGGGAGAGGTGGGCTTTGGATCTGTGAGATCCTGTCCAAGCGGTGCCTCAGGACTTAGGAGAGGGGGGTCCAGGCCCAGCTTTGCACCATTTCTCCCTCCCCCGGTGAGTGGTATCCAAGCCCCCTGCAGCCCCAGTCATCCGGTCTCACTGGGGCAGGCCTTTTGCCTTTGGAAGATTTCTCTTTGGACTGGTTGAAGCAGGTGTGAGCGCTGCGTGATCGCCATCAGAGTTGAGACTTCTGGCCAATCAGGGTGGGAGTAGCCACAGGGAGTCTTTAGAAACGGAGCAGGGTAAAACCCAGCATTTCGTGGTATGGGTATATCATACGATGCCCCTTCAGTTTTGTTTCAAGTGCTGAAAATGATCCTTTCTTTCCACTGGCAACAACTGACAACATTAATACTGACCCAAAAGGCAGAATTGCTTTAGAATCTTGTAATCCAGGGAGTTTCCACTGGGAAGTCCTGTTCCAGAAATGTGTGTGAGGGGACTAAGGGAGCAGAAGAGTCCATCGGTTAAATTGATTGTGCCAGGACCCCTTCCCCCTGACTGCTCTCCCTGACTTTGCTGGTTGGAGCTCAGGATGAAGGATACCAACCTGAGCCTGCAGGCCCAGGCTCAGGGAGGAGAGCTTCCAAACCAGGCTGGGGAGGGGGGTGGAATCTGGGAGCAAGAAGCTGTGGTAACTATTTTACAATAGGTTTAAAATAGGGTGGGTTGGGTTTAAATAAACAAAATTCAAATGCAGCGAATGGGTTGGGTGTGGGCACATTTTCCTGGAACCAGACACCTGCAAAGTGACCACAAGGACTGCTCAGCACCATTTCCTGGTCCACGTGCGCAAATCTCGCTGACTAGCTGTCTGCACAGGCTGAGAGACAGCAGATTCTGTTCACAGAGAGGTCAGGGGCAAGCCCCAGTCCACCACATGGGCTAAGTATGCTGGCAGATGAGGGAATCGCAGAGCCGACTCAGCAGGGGCCCTGGCCTGAGGATGGACAGTTCTGAACCTCAGGCCACCCTAGAGGTGCTAATGCTGAACTCCACATGCATGCTGCACACCCTTTTCCCTGTGCACGTGTGTCAAGTCCAAGGTTTTAAAGGAGGAGGGGATAAAAAGACAGGCTGCAGCTTGTGGTGGGGCTTCAGGGTGGCCCAGATGCATCCAAAGGACAGAAATGGGGTGGGGTGCCCAGCGTGCTCCAGGCCCTGGCATCCAGCCCCAGCACCACCAAAAAATAAAATAAGGTGCAGACTCCTTGAAAACCCACATCATCTGTTTTGGGCTGAGAGTGTAACTCAGGGCTACAGTATGTGCTCCGACATGTGTCTACTTCCAAGGGAGGCAGAGTCCCAAGCCCCACTGAGTCTGTGCTAGATGGAGATCTGGTCCCCAGGTGCTTACAGAAAGGAAAGTCTGATCTGGGGCTTCTTGGAGGAATGGGGAACGGAGGGTAGCCTCGTCCAGCACAGCCTGAGGGGCTGTTGCTCTACTTGGCCACCATCTTACTCAGATGCCCCCCCCAGCAAGGTGGCCCCCAGTAGGGGGCCCTTGGCCTCTGAGACCCTGGGACCTGCCCACTCATTGATTCTCAGGGGTCCGTCCTATGGAGGCCAAATCAGGGTGAACAGAAGACTTGGAGCAGCCCAGGTCATTCTTGAACCAGGCCCCTTGAGACACTGGCCAGATGAGACCACCATATTAAGCATGTGTTTGGAATTGCTACCCCGACTCCCAGGGGCAGAACAGGGGGCTGCAACTGATGTTTCTATTTTGCAAGCACCCTGAGGTGTTTCACAGGAACTTGAGTGTTTTTAAAAATAGAAACAATCAAAAAAATCAGAAGCTATGAATTTCTAATGTTAAGTATGTGCTCAAAGTGCTTTCCTTGGGCTTAAATCAAGACCCACATGAATTCTAGAATCTGTTCCTTTCACGGTACATTCCTGAGCTTGCTTTTGAACAGCAAGAAGCCCCCCAAGAAACCACCCCACAGAGCAACTCCAGGCCCGGTAAGTTGAACACTTTTGGAATCCAGAAGGAAGGAAGAACTCTGGGGAGTAGAGCTTGGTCTGCCCACCCCTCCCTAGCATCCCTGTCTTCGGTGGGGTTCAATTCATGGAAAATCACGAAAGCTGAAAGGTAACAACAACAAAAAATGAGGCCTGAATTAATTAGGATGCTAACAGAAGCAAGAGGATGAAGGGAATTTAGATCCTAATCAACCACGTCTTCTGCGCTGACTTCTCGGAGAGACCAGGATAACTTATGACAAAAAAGGGAAAATATTTTCCTGTTAAAGAGGTGCCAGAACCTGTCCAAAAGCAAGTGCTACCTTTTCTGCTCAGCGAAGGGCTTGGCTCCCTAGGTCCCTGCATAGACCTCTCCTGGGCCTGGTTCCTTGAGGGGACCTCTAAGATGGGCAGCTTTTGGGAAAACCCTACCTCCAGGAAGGATCTGGAAGGATCCAGGGTATTACACTGAACACTTGGCCTGGAAACTCAGTCTCCACATTGACTATGAATACAGGACTATAGGCACTGATCTCATGGCCAGAACCTCCCTGTCGTCTTTCTGAGCAGTGTAGGTGGGGAAGGAAGACACTGTGTCCCTAGACTCTAAGCACCCACCACCTGCCCTTGGATCCTTGTACCTCCAGTACCCAGGGACATACCTGCACCAGGCCCATCTCCAGGCTGCACTGACCCCTGGTGGCCGAGCAATGTCTCTACCCCGCAACACACACAAAATATTTCTACCCCTAAGAGCATCCCAAAGAGTTGCCGCCTGCTCCATACAAGTGACCACATATTGAGACATGTGCAGATGACTGTGGGGCTGCCACACTGGGAGCTACACTCTGGATGGAGTGTGCATCCTTAGGCAAGCACCCTTACACACCCAGCAGTGCCTAACATGTGGCCTCTGAACATGTAGTCCTACTCCTGGGACTCTCGAGCCCCTTAACGCATCCCCAGAGTGCCCAGCTCCACTTCGGACAAGGCAAACTGAGGCTTTTAGTGCCCAGCAGGGGGCCCTGCAGGTCAGCAGCTGGGGGAAGGAGAGTGAAGGGTTAAACCTGTGCCTGAACACCTGGAAAGGTAAGCTGCTGCCCCAGAGGGAGACCACAGAGGAAAGACAACTGGGATGGACTAGGAAGTCCCCAGAATGGGGACTGCAGCATGCACCAGAGGAAGGTCCACCCTGACCGAGTCACAGAGCCAAACACCCTTGTTCTGTCGCTGTTGTTATTGCCGTCATTGTTATTTCCGGGCCCCCAACTAACACGCCCGATATGGGCGAAGTACCAGCCTCGCTTGACCACTTTTCTCCTTTGCGAACCTCTGGGGGTTTTCGTTTTGTTTTGTTTTTATGAAGATAGACCCTCCTCCTGTGGCCATAACATTTACTCTTCTTCTAAATTTTTAAAAAAAGTATATGTATGTGTGTATGTCTGTGTGTTTATGCATGTGCAAGCAGGTAATTGACAGAAGAAGGCACTGAATGCCCTGGAGCTGGACTTACACCCAGCCTGACTTGGGTGCTGGGGACCAAACTTGGGCCCCCTGAAAGGGCAGTATGCACTGAGCCATCTCTCCAATCCCATATTTACCCTTCTTAAAGTTTATGACTTC